TAGCTAATTGCTATTCAAACTCTGATTTCTTATGCTGCACATGGTATACTACAGAACATCAAAAAGAAGAAAAAAACTTTTGATACTGTTTGTATAAACAAGTTGATGAAGAGAATTTGGCGACCAACAAACAGATCTCCCTTTAACTCAGTGACCTTGTGTTCAGATGAGTGGCAAGATCATGATGACAGGATCTCATTAATTGGGCAAGCTATTGCTGGGGCCTTGGGCTATCTATTTCCATGGCCTCAAATCCTATCTTTAAAGCAAACTGGACAGTTCCCATACAACTGTAATATTTACTTTAATTTTATTTCTAAAATTAAGGTTGCACAAAGCCATTCTATAAAATAAGAATCCATGTATGCCCTCTGCCATGACAATCATCATGACAATTTTCAGCAGATGCATAGCTGCTCATTTCTGGTTGTCATCACTGAGAAATAATATACACCTCAAGTCTTGCTCCATGAATGGAGGGGATGTATGTTTTGATGAATACAAGAATTATACAATTATAAATTATGGCAAACACTGAACTGCCCTTCTAATGATATGGCCATGTTGAATTCTCCCCGCTTTTACATTTAGCAAATTAAAATCTATATTGTGATGTAAATATGATGAAGGTTTTCCCTACTTCTAACTGAAGGTTGAAGGTTTTCCCCATTCCAGATTAGTAGCTGAAGGCAACAGTATTTTTTGATCTAAAGATATGAAACACAGAAAAAGAAAAATGTAAAAAGACTGGCACAGAAGGGGAAAGTGTTTTTCTCCAAATAATGTGAAATCCAATATTGAGAGGGTGGCATTAAAAAAAAAAAAAAAGAGCTCCCCCCAATTTTTTTTTTCCTTTCAGGGCCATCACATCTCTAAGCAGAACATAATGCTTAATACTGTCCAATAAGCAGGGAGAAAATTGAAAATAGGAATGCTGCTTTTAGCACAGATACTGTTTCCCTTAATGTACAGTGGTACCTCGGGTCATGAACTTAATTCGTTCCGTGACTCTGGTCACGACCCGAATTGGTTGCGACCCGAATCAAATTTTCCCATAAGGTTCAATGTAAATATGGTTAATCCATTCTAAACCAATTAATTGGCATCAAAAGCCAAATATCTTGAAAATTTATGTGCAATCTTTGTTTGGAATATGGAAAAACATATTACATGACCAAAATGTAATTTAAAATAATCCATATGTAATTTCCCAAATGTACATACATTTCAAACAACCAACATAAAGTTACAGCACCATACTTCATTAGGTGGTTTCTTTTCAAAAAGCAATTTTTGGTGCTGTTCTTATATATAAATAGAATGGAGGTCAGAGATTATTATTTTGTTTAGATTGTAGAAGGAAAAAAGATTTTGTTTGCAGAGTAAAATAACAAGAGTTGAGATGTGACCCTAAAACACTATACGCACATGTTAACCTAAAACTTGCTATGATCATGCTAAAATAATAAATAATACATTTATTTCACAAAACAAGCTTACACATCATTGACTTGAATTCTTTTGACAACAGTACCAAGTGATTCATTAGAACATTTGCCAGTTGTTTGTTAAATATATGCACAACTACTGTAAACTCTAATATACAAATTATCTAAGAACTAGCCACTAAAAATAAGAGCAAGCACATTTGTCTTAACTGGCTATTCTGTATGTTAACATGCTAAAAGAAACATTAAGTCTTGAGTCTTAACATATTACCTTTAATATGAAATGGTGCCAATTGACAGTTTACTGCACTGACAGGTTGGTAGTTTTAATGTTAAAATGGTGTCTGAAGGTTTAAACAGACATAAATAAATGTAATTAAATTATTAAAATAGATTGAATACTGGGAAGTATGTTGGGAATTACCAAAAATGTTTTGTAACTAATGCCTAATAATGAAAAATTCAAAACAATTCATCTAACAGTATATAATTTTCAGTAAATTTTAGGAGCGCATCATCAGCCACTGCTATGTTTGCTGCTTAGCTGAAATCATTACAGGAAGACAATATAATACTATATCAGTCCTGATACACTGATCACATACAAGTTCAAAATTACAAATATTTACAAGAGGGACATGGATTTCTTATCCAGCTGTTGCACCTGCTGCAAAATGAGGCAATTTAAATGGAAACAAGTAAGGATAGGTCAAGTTCAGGGTCCATGCTATCTACACTTAAGTAAAGACAGCTTCATAAATGGACTGAATATTATTATATATTGAGACAAGCTTCATTCAATCCAGTTAAGTCCTGTTTTGTAGTGCTCTATATGCAACACTGACTAAATATCAGAATGCTTCCCAGTTTGATTTGACAACTGGTCTTTCAATAGAAAGAAAAAAATCAGTAATAAATTTGTTATAAATTGGTTTCATCCCAAGAAGGATCATTCATACTCTTTAGAACTTTCCGGACAAGCTTTTCAAGCTCCTTGCGAGCTCTTTGCTCTTCTTCCAGCGATTTCTTCATCTTCTTATTGTCCTGGCAAACAAAAAGATAAACATATTATGATAACTTGTTTTAAGTGGCTAAAACATTGTTTTCCATGAAGAATTTAACTTCTACAAGGGGGAGACATTCAGAGTATGTTGCTGTAAATTTTTTGCTCTCTGGCATAGTAGCTTGGGGTTTAGTTTATCAACAAAGAAAACAGGGATTGTTTTGCTCGGAGCTCCGAACAATATGTATTTTTCATTTTGTACAACCCCCTAAAAATGTTATAACTGCAGATACAAATCACATTTAGGAAAAGAATTATATATCTTATTAGAAGGGGTCTGGCAACATTTGATAGATGCAAACTGAGAAGATGAATCTTGATGAAATATATTTTACAGGAGAATAGGGAGTCAGAGCAATAAAGTAACTCTCAGTGCTCAAGATTTCATTAATTTACAAAATAATTATCCAGAACTGTGTTGTGAGATAAACACAATTACTAGCTGAAATTAGAAGTTTTGTAGAATGATTCCTCCATAGCTAAATTCAGCAGCAGCACACTGGGGCAGGTGCTTCAGATTCTGCTGGCTCCCGACAGTCAACTTTACTTAAACTGGAATCTGTGCAGTCTGTGCAGACTGCGTGGCCACCTTTGCATTTTGACTAAAGTGTGCTCAAGGGAAGATTCTTCTTCCTCCCAAATAACATTTCCTGCTATCTTGTATTGGTACCATGTTCTGGCTTGTGTACTCACACCCAAGATCTGGTCACTGAGCCTTAAGAGGCCCAAGCTTCAGCTGCTGTTGCTTAGTGCCAGATCCGTCTCCAACAATGTCTATTTCATCCATGATCTAATATTTTGATAGATGGGTGTGAGACTCTACATGGGAGGCTGGGCCTCAGCGGTCAATTGGAATTGCTGCTGCTACTGTATCAGCCCCCTTGCTGAGTAGCAGCTTCCCTGCTTGTGCTGCTTGATGGTGTATCTGGGTTAGCAGCACAATTTACTGCGCTTAAGATGTTGGGGGACTTCACCCTGCCTTCCATAGATGCAGACCTGGAGGCAGCCAAGGATTTCATGGTTGCCAGAACAACCATGAACCTGATCCAGTTTAATAAGGGCCCAACCCACACAGGGGCCCTCCTGTTAAGACCTGGTTTTCATCTCAGGACAGTAGCAATGTCATCTGGAATTGGGGGACATTGTTATCAGTCCCTTGTAAGGGAAGAATCACTCCCTGTTGTTCCTGGAGTTTTCCCTGGCTACTTCCCACTGCAGGGAGGCGGGACCTATTTGATTGGTCTGTCCCAGAGGCATAATGGACCTAATTGGGTTTCCAAGGGAATTTGGAGTTGTCCTTGAGGCTCTGATGCATAGTCCAACTCAGGCCTTAGTGGCTGCTTGGAATGATAGGGAGATGACAGCCTTGGATTGGATCGTGCCTGGGAGCACTCTCTGCAGAAGCTACAGCCAGTCCAGAATACAGTGGTACAGGTAGTTATGGGTGCACTTCAGTACACCCATGTAACACCACTATTCCACAAGTGCATTAGCTCCCAAAAGGCTTCCAGGTACAATTCAAGGTGCTAGATATCATCAATAAAGTCCTACATGACACAGGACCAGGTTATTTGCAAGACTGCCTCTCCACAACAGTATCTGCCCATCCCACTCATTCTATTGGGGTGGGCACACTTCAGGTCCCTTCTCTGAAACAGTGCTCTTCTCTGAAACAGTGTCATCTGTTGGGACTACAGAGGCATTCCTTTTCTGTGGGCACCTGCCCTCTGGAATATTTCCCCTCTTCTACATAAGTTTGGTCCTGACTCTGTTGACCTTTAGAAAGGCATTAAAAACCCATCTCTTTCCTTGGGCCCTGGGGTCAGGATGATGAGTCCCCCCATCTGGAGGAGGTTAATAACTGTGAGTTGCACGGGTTTCTTTTCATTTTAACAGAACTGTTAAATTCTGTTCCATTATCTGTTTTTGCTTATTTTTGGTTTATTGTAAGCTGTCCAGAATCACAGTGTCCGAGTTGAGTGATCATATAAATTTCATAAATATTCATTTCCTATTCATATTTCTACTCATAAACTACACACACACACACACACACACACACAACCTTAAATTGCCAAGACTTAGCTTGACCTACAAGGCAGAGACAGAACCTGGAAAACAGCAGCAGTAGTAATGCCAACTCTCATTAGTAACTGATAGCTGCAATAACAAAGTGGTTGGATCATATTGATACAAAGCAGATCTAAAAGAGTCTATAAAGGCATTCTCTTTCATGTGCTGCTGCCCCTTCTCTAGACACTTGCTCTTATGGTACATTGGATCACCTGTACAATCAATTGTGCATGAAGGCTACTTAACTTCTGTTTCATTACAGTACTGATACTACTTATTGATCCAACTGCCAATTCTGAAGCACAATTCTAAAAAACCACCCTATGTTTTTGACATAACTGCTGCACTCTATAATCTTATCCTCAGTTGTAGAGTATATTATAGTATCTTTTACCAACCTGTCTTAATTCCTGTACTTCATCCTTTAATGCATATACTGTGTCAACAAGACTTCTAAAACAGAAAATTAAGATAAAATATTTTCAAAAATATAATAAACATGTACAAATCGTATCAACACATGTGGTTTTACATCAAAAACTATATAATGCGGGATGAAAAAGATACAGCTATTGAACCTACTCTATTTGCAGTACATTTTGGCCTTTTCTGGCATATTTTTAATTAAGACTTTGAGGACATGGGAGGAGGAATAAAGAGACATTATTAAACTAATTAGCATAAAGTAACTTTGATTAAGGAGGGATTTGCTATCAGATGCTGTTCACTAGCAATCCTATTGTTACAAATGTTTTTGAGATAAAGCAGCTCTTTAACTGTACATTCATATAAAAACAATACAATTATCAACACTAAAACACCTGCAATCCTACATACAAATAAAAACAGAAATCCCAGGGTACTCAAGAATGCCACCTTACCACAACATTGATCAATTCCCAGCTGGCACAAGGACAAAGAAAGAAAGATGCAAAAAGAAAAGTTAGAGAACCCAAGATTACTGGAATTGGCCTAAATGGGCTACAGTGGACCGATGATCCACATTTCAGGCAATTAAGTAATGAATTCTAATAGGATATTCATTTCCATATACATATATACATATATACAGTCATGTGAAAAAATAAGGACACCCCATATAAAGTTTTTTTTTCTTTTTAAACATATGTGGACATATCAATATTTTACCTTCATACAAATAGTATGTAAAGATAAAGGTGATGTAATTTAATAAAAAGTATGAAAAATTGACTTTGCAATCATTTGTTCAAGAAAAAATTAACAAATATGCCTTTTCCTTCTGTGGAAAAAGTTAAGTACACCCTTGGCAATAATACCTAGGATTACCCCCTTCAGCATAAACCACCTCAAGTAGGCATTTCTTATAACTGTCTACTAGTCTCTGACGTTGACTGAGAGGAATTTTTCCCCACTCCTCCATGCAGAATTTTTTCAGCTGTGTGATACTTGAGGGTTTTCCTGCATGCACAACCCATTTCAAATCACCCCATGGCATTTTGATGGAATTTAGATCCAGACCTTGAGTCAGCCATTCTAGAACCTTCCATTTCTCTTTTTTCAGCCATTCCTTGGTGGATTTACTGGAATGTTTGTTGTCATTGTCATGTTGCAAGGTCTACTTTCAGTTGAGTGTCAATCTTCTGACAGATGGTCTTACATTATCCTCAAGCACCCTCTGGCACAATGAAGAATTCATAGTGGATTCTGTAAGGGTGAATTGTTCAGACCCTGATGCAGCAAAGCAGCCCCAAACCATAACATTTCCACCACTGTGCTTTACAGTTGGTATCAGATTCTTCTGGTGAAATGCCATCTTTAGTTTTTGCCAAACATGTCTTCCGGTACTATGGCTAAATAACTCTATGTTTGCCTTGTTTGTCCAGAGTACATTGTTCCAGAAATTCTGAACTTTGCCTGCGTGTTCATGAGCAAACTTTAGTCTTGCCCTGATGTTCTTGATGATGAAATTCTGGGGTTCTTAGAGACATCTTTCAGCAACTTGGGTTCTGCTCTTGGGCTGAACTTGCTGGGACTGCCTGGCCTGGGGAAGCTGGCAGTTGTTTGAAATCTTCTTCACTTGTAGAAGATCTTCTGGACAGTAGAATGATTGATGTCAGATTGCTTGGTGACCTTTTTAAATCCCTTCCCAGACTCATAGGCATCTATAACCTTCTTTCTGAAGGCATCAGAGAGCTCTTTCAATCTAGGCACGGTGATACCACACACTTCAACAACAAAGAGTAAATCAAACTAAATGTCTGATGTTTCAAAGACAGCTTTATCCCCTATCCTACCCCCAATCATTGGCACCTCATCTGGTGCACCTGATTCTAATTTTAGGTATTTGAGGTAGAGATAAATGTAGGGGTGTACTTACTTTTTCCACATGTGAAATGTGTATTTATGTTTATTTAAATTAAACAAATGGACTACAAAATATAAATGGTATATGGTATTTGTTATATTAGATCCCCTTTATCTATCAATATTGTTGAAATGAAGATCAAATATCTGTATGTTGAAATATGATGAAAAAGTCAAAAATTTCAACAGGGTGTACTTACTTTTTCACATGACTATATATTCCATACTTGTATATTATTGAGGAGGTATGTACATAACTAGTGCATAAATTCTACTATAACATTACACAAAAACTTCCTGTTTACAAGAATGCAAACTGTTTAAAACAGTTGTTAAAAAGAAATCATCTTACTTTTCTTCTATCACAGTTTGACCATTACTTTTTGTTTCTTCTACAATAATTTTCTCTTCCTCTGGAAGCAGTACTTGGGGAGCAGATTCTTTACGGGAGTCTAGTATAAAATGATAATAGAATTAAAAGATAAAACATGCAAGCATTATTTTTAGAAAGATTATTAGAATTAATGTTCATAGCAGCAGTTAATTTTTGATTTGCTTGTTCTCTATTTTAAATGATATGTACCAATCACTATTACAGGTTTATTATCACTGGCTTCAATAAGAATGGTCAACAAACTATGATTTAAGTTTCTCAACCAGCATTAAATTGCCAAGTTAAACTTAGTACAGCTGTTAGATACAAAGCTGGTAAAGTAACAAGCAATAATGATTATGAAGTATTCTGTTGACTGAGAAATAATTGACTATAGTATAATACATTCAGCAAAGATTAGTATTTCAGAAAATATTTGAGGATGTTTCTGATAGTACCTCTAAACCTGGTTAGATATAAGAAGCAGAATTAAAACGGTATTCCACTCTTCTACCAAGCACAATTCAAATTACTAGAGTTGACTGCCTAAATGTCTTGAACTTTAAATGTCTTTAAAGTACGGTGACCACATTTTCTTGGAAAAAAATAAAGGTCAAACCTGAAAAGGGGACAAATCTGAAAGAGGTTCATAAGGATAAAAAAAAAATGTTTATATCTATAACTTTGCTTTACAGAAGAAAATTCAAGAGCTCATCCAAGAAAAAACATACAAAAATGCATATTCTAACAAAAATATTTAAAATCAGTTTATGTAAATTTATTTTAAAAAGGCAATGCAATTTCCATATTTTTTATATGAATGTGAAAGACTGTGCATTAAGTAGTACCATTTGTATATTAAAAGTTAAATGACCAAAACAAAGAACAAAAGTGAGTTTTTGAAAAATAAATAAATCTAAAGGATAGCTTTGTGAAATAAAGGACTGTCCTTTATAATAAAGGACCTTTGGTCACTGTACTTTAAAGCAATCTTTCACAACTTCATGACCCCCATATGCTAAATATCAACGCTCATAATCCCCAGCCAGCACAACCATTTGCTTCTTCTCTTCCCACTGTATATCCTATGGTAAAAGACAAGCACTTTGTTGATAACATTTTCAGAACTAAGAATAAAAAAACAGCCTATTCAGAGGTGCTATTCCACTGCAGGAAAACATTGCTACTACAACACCTATAAAATTACACCTAATGTGCAGTAAAATTCTCTTTACCAACTTATCAACTATCCAGCTGGTAAAGGATCACTATGATGCAGACTGAGTCAGAAATGGTAAAAAATATTTTCAAAAATACTAATTCTGCGAGCAGAATCAAAACTAGATCTTTTGTTAGCCTTTGTCTTAGGCACAAGCAAAAGGCAAAGTAAATGCAAAGTAAAAACTTAAAAATGAGGACAGGTAGGTTGAAATAGTGATCTGTAGTGAGACAGATGTTAACTCTGAAGGACAAACTACATAAAAACAATGTCTTAATGTTAATTTACTTAAACCACTCAGAATTTTATTTTAAATACTAAACCATGGTAGAAAGCAAAAGGGATAGATTAAAATTAAGAAATGAAGACACAGTCCTTGGCTTATGACAGAAAAATAAAGAATATATAAAACTATTCTTGAAAAACACCAATAATTTTAAAACAGGAGGTTAATTCCCGGGAACTATTAACTTTATTCAGAGAGTCACAGATATTTCATTTAATTAAGCCCTGGGGTGGAGATCTATTATCTTACAAGGTGGTACAACAATCCAATTAACTTTTAAAAAATACTAATTTATTCCCATTGAAATTAATAAGAAAAGGCATCTAAACAAGGTAAGTAAGGTCAAGTTTTCTAAGAGTTTTGAAGACCTTCTGTAAATGCAAGTCTCTTGACTAATTCACTGTAACTTAATCCAGTCTTCCTTGGAAGTCAATGTGAGAAATCATGTGAAAATGCCATTTCTGCTGCAAACACATATTACCCAATGTACAGAAACATGTTTCAACATTTACATATACATACAAGCTTTTGATTCCCTTAACATAGAAACAAATTGCACTGGGGAATGTTTTGCCAAAAAAAGCAGTAGAAAGTTAATAATATGTTGATACTAAAGCAACAATTTTGTGTGTACAACTTTAACACTAAATGCCAAGAGATGGAGCATTTAGCAAATCCTGTAGCTCAGAAAAGCCATTAAATTTCCTGATCACAGTAAAGGGAAGACACATCAATATGGGACTGAACTCCAATACACATGCAATTTTCAAAATGGCAATTTCATTCTGGGATATAGCAAAGATCAGACTCCCACTCCTACCAGTTATAATCCTCATCATTATCACAGACACACACCCGCCCAAGTATCTTCCACTTGCATGTTTAAAAATATCCCACTTAATGTTACCTTTAGTTTAAACCTTATTGCAGAGATAAAGACAAAAGACAGAAAGATAATCCCAAGAACTGCAAGAAGTCTGTAGGTAGTAGCACTTTATTACAGTAATTGACCAGCCCAAAAAACAAAAGAAGAAAAAAATTGTGAGACAGCAAATAAAAAAACACAGTAAAACCCAATCATTATAATACTGAAGTGGTCAAAGTACAGCTTATTTTACAAATAGTAAAACAAAACTTTGCCATGTTATGAGATATAAAATCACAATAATTGGATAATTACAACTGTAAATAAAATGGATCTACGTGACCTGGAAATCTGACTAGATGGGGCATTATTACCTGCAGCTGGGTGTCTTTATAATGACAACAATATAACAAAATATGGGCTAATGTTTCAGAAAATCTGTAATATATTGTTCCAAGCCCTGCAAAATAAATGGCCAGTATTTGGGATTCAATTCCTTTATTCCCCTAAAGGAATCATCGGGCAACCTTTGACAAGGCTGATCAGTTATATATTAGATTATGTATGAATGATATAGAGGTCCAGCTTCTGTATGTAAAGAGCCTCTTGGATTTGTGTGATGGAGAAGGACTGCAAACATTCTAGCCCAGGGTTTCCCAAATTCTGTGGTACCATGAAAATCATGTACAGACTAATGTGAACATCCCTCATGTATAAAACAAGATTGCATTGGAGTTTGGACTAAGCAAGAAGTATGCAACTTATTTTTAATTATTAAATTTTAATGTATATAGCATATAGATTATCTCTTTTTAGTACAACTGCCCACTTCAGACTTGCACAGAGCAAAGCCCAGAGGTTTTGACAGTGCTGCCACTTTGCCTTCACAAGCCTGGTAGAAAAAGAGGGTTTAATCAAATAATCCAATAATACTGGAGCAGGATAAATAATATATTAAAAAAGTAATATCTCACCAAATCACTCTTCCGTATTTTTGATAATAGCATGAATCTAATAATTGCTGTTCAGAAGTAGATACTCTGGAGCTTTCAAAGAACAATTCACTTCTATTTCCAACAGACCCTGACAACTCTCAAGAGTTAGATATAAATACATTAAAACCTAATGCTGGAAAATGTCCTTGAAGTTCTTGATGTGGATTCATACCTCTATGAGGAAAATGCTAAGATATGAGATGTGGCAAGATGCAGGAGCTGATGATGGACAGGCCTGTACGTATTCCGCTTAAACCAATGTGCTTCCAAGCAATCCTAAATCTATAGCAAATAGCAGAAATGAAAACATACAGGTTTTTTCCCCTCCATATTTTGCTGAATTTAACATTTTTCCCATCCTACACATTTTTTAGTTTTGTTTGCATAGGCAACGAGACTGAAGCTTAGCCTCCAAACATTAACCATGTTGTTTTAAAAAGCTTTGGATCTACATTCTTTGCTAAACAAGACTGCATATACAATTGCTTTGTGCTATTCAGCAGTGTCATTGGACCAGCCTATTATATGTGTATGTTTGAAATCGGTAAATAAAATAATGCAGGCTTGGTTTGTCTTAGCATAGCTATGTTCATGAGCACAATATGATCCAGAATCCAGATACATCTTTTTGGAGGATTGGAAGAGAGGACGAGTCCACAGGGATCAAAGTATCATCTAGGGGAGTTTCTAGAAACTGGTCACCTTCTTTCATTGGTCCCACTTCATCAATGGGCAGGAACTGTTTCCAGATCTCTTGAATGCGATGATGACATTTTTTTTACAAATAGTTTTAAAGAAATTATTTAACAGAGATGTAGTACTGATTGCATTACTTTCTTTACTGCAACTTCTTATTCTTTGAAAAATGACTTATATGGAAAGAGTTATCCAATCTTTAATAGGGATATGCAGTGCTTCGGATTCAAGCAGAAAAAGATTTTTCAGTGCATGAGGGGCTGTTCAACTAACATCTGTCAGAACTCCTAAAAGAAGCTGCAACCTTTCTCAGGATTTAGCAGTGACTATCCACAGCTGCCCCACAACTAATGAATGACATTATTGTCCGCTATAAAAATAATAGCCTAAGTTAAGGAAATACAGAACACAGGACACAAACAGAGCAACTATATTCATTTTATTCACATTTGAACTAGCAGTCTAATATCATTAAGGTACTATATCATCCTATAAACAAAGGAAACTTTGAGAAACAATCATACATTAAAAAAGGAATATTATTAAAATGGGATTAGAAGTCCATAAAGCTGGCTTCAACTTGGCAGATCAGATGAATTATCATATATGCAGAGTCAGAATCCATTTGAAGACATCCATTCTAAAATATATCAAAATTAATGTTCATAAAAGATTCCAAGTTCAGATCTTACATCACCAGTAAGTTCCAATTAAATCATGAGAAAAAAAGGGGGGGGCGAATGGAACTATTTTCAATCTCTGCAGAAAATTCTCTTAGTAGCACAAATTCACTTAAACTAAGATAATATGGGTTTAAGACTGACCTTAGAAGGAAGCTTATGTACATATGTATAATTCTCTACTGAGTACCAACAACAGGGAGATGAAACACTTACTGCATACCTCTGAGAGAAATCAATATAATAGCAGGTACCATCATGGCTTCACTTAGATAATATAAAATTAAATATATAAAGGAATGGGACATTGTTATATGAGTAAGCCTCTAATACAGGTT